TTGCTGAGCGAAAAAAATGGTTAAGGTCAGGTAAACAAAATATCCACTTGATAACAGGCCTAAGTAATCGGCTAGGTATCAATGTGCTCACATTGCATCCATGTTTCGTTTACACATTTGCTTTTATGTGCACTGACGCCTCGACCTAAAAATTCGTTTGCCTTTTGGCTATTGCCGGCCCCCCCCCCCCAGTAGTGACTTTTTGCCCTGACTGGGGGGGGGGGGGCCAGGCCGATGACTGCGGGGGTTTGGCCCCCCCCCCCAGTTAACATGTTAGACGAGGCCTTGGTCTCCGGGCTCTGTATCTGAATTCTGATGTCTTCCGATATTTGAGATTTCTGAAATATTTTAGTTGGTCACTTCTTGGCGACGGCCTGAAATTCATGTGGCAGCTATTAACTTTCCCCTAGCAAAGCATGCATAGCCCCACATCCGTCCCCACCACCAACTGCGCCCATCTCTGGTGCCCTTTGTTAGTGAGTTGGGCGCCATCGACCGACAGATCTTGTTTTCTCGTTGGCCGCGCAGAGAGCCTGCGAGGCCGGGGGTCAGTGCGCTCCCCCAGCACCAGAGTGTGTTTGTCGGTCTGACGCCGGACGCTCTACGTCTGGTGATCGTCATTCGGAGAGGGCGAAGGGTGGTATTCTTGGTACTGGGGCTCTGCGTCAAGGGGAGGGGGACAGGAAAGCCTGGTCAGTTGAACCAGTGAGATGTTGCTGGGATTGAGGGCTGAGGGGATGCAGGGCTATGCTCCTAGTTCAGATATCAGCCCAAATGAACTGTATTTCTAGCTGTCTCTGTGAGTGGAATAAGACTGGACCCAGGTCACCTCGATGTCATTTCGACTGTTCTTTGGTCATCAACGTCCAGCTGAATCAGGTGTTTACCAAACAGTGCAGAGTCCAGCCACCGGGCGGCGCTGACTGTCGGTCACGTGATATGTGATCTGAACCACCCCCGGTCTGGCGGTATGCCGCTCACGGGCCACGGCCACGGCCAGTCGCGGCCCGTCGTCAGCGGTGCAGCCATGCGGTCCTGGTGCCTGGCTCTGGTGAGCGCCGTCCTGCTGGGGCCGGCCGGCGCGCTCCAGACGCCTCTGGGCCAGTTCTTCCCCGAGGTGCCGCCCCACCAGGCGTCCCCCGATGCCGGAGATGCGCTCTTCCTCACGCCCTACATCCGCGCCGGCAAACTGGAGCAGGGACGGAAGATGGCGCGCGTGAACGGTCTGCAGACGGACGTCAGCAGCTTCGCCGGCCTGTTGACCGTCAACTCGACGCACAACTCCAACATGTTCTTCTGGTTCTTCCCGGCCAAGAGCGGCGCCGCCGACGCGCCGGTGGTGCTCTGGCTGCAGGGCGGCCCGGGAGGATCGAGCCTGTTCGGCCTCTTCGTCGAGAACGGTCCCTTCAGCGTGGACGCCGCCATGCGACTTCACCCTCGCCAGTACTCATGGCACAACACGCACAGCGTGCTCTACATCGACAACCCGGTCGGCACCGGCTTCAGCTTCACCGAGAGCGACGACGGATACGCCAACAACGAGGACGACGTCGCCAGGGACCTGTACGCAGCGCTCGACCAGTTCTTCACGCTCTTCGACAGCTACCGGGCCAACGACTTCTACATCACCGGCGAGTCTTACGCCGGCAAGTACGTGCCGGCCATCTCCTACAAGATCCACCAGGAGAACCAGTCGGCCAAGCGCAAGATTAACCTCAAGGGCCTGGCGATCGGTGACGGTCTGTGCGACCCCGTCAACCAGCTGGACTACGGGCACTTCCTCTACAACGTCGGCCTCGTCTCGGCGCGCGTCCGCGACCAGCTTCTGGAGCTTCAGAACAGAACGGCCGACTACATCAAGAACGGTCAGTTCGACAGAGCTTTCGTGAGCTTCGGTATCGCCATGGAAATGTACGAGCAGATCACTGGACTTAAATTTGTCTATAACTACCTCCTTCAATCGACCCCGGTCGAGTTTTCGTATTACCCCAAGTTCCTCACCACTTCAGCAACCAGAAGCGCCATCAACGTCGGGAACCTAGTCTATCATGACGGTTCTAATGTCTACATGCACCTGGAGGGTGACTTCATGCGCACGGTTCGTGACAAGATTGCGGCGCTGCTCGACGCCGACTACAGCGTCCTCATCTACAACGGCCAGATGGACGTCATCATCGACTACATTGGCACGGAGCAGATGGTGCGGGAGCTGCCCTGGAAGGGCCGCGACCAGTTCGTCCAGTCCAAGAGGCACGTCTGGTACGTCGGCGACGAGGTGGCCGGCTACGAGCGACACGCCGGCGCCCTGACCCAGGTCATGGTGCGTAACGCCGGCCACATCCTGCCGTTCGACCAGCCCAAGTGGGCCTACGACATGATCAGCAGGTTCACCTCGGAGAAGAGATTCGCCTGAAGTCCCGCTGACTGCTCCTGATTTTCATCACTGGCGTTGTATCCCGATGTATTTTCTGAGAGTTTTACTCTGATCAGGTATAAGCGATATCTGCGGCCGTTATTTGGGCCGCTTTAGACAAAACCCCAACTCATTATTTGTTTCCCTGAAGCCATATCTAAGGACTGATGTGTATCTGTGTTTATTGGGCCATGTTTACCTTTGCATAGCGTCGGTCAATAAATGGATCGTTGACGTAGACCTGGTGTGTTACTGTGAAAACTGAATTCAGATTTTTTACCGCTGAATTCAAACAATTGTTTTTTATCAGATTGGTGTGAAGCAGGTCACCATAGAATGTATTTGATTTTCGGTGCCTAGATGCATTGCAGTGTAGGTTGCATTGCATCAGCACTGTATCCTTTGGGTTGCAGATGTTTTAATTCATTTGAACAGTAAACACATTAGACAGCTTTGTCTTTTGGGATAATGGTTTATTGAAAATATTGGTACAAGCATGGTGCACTTACACAAGACATAGATGTTCAGGAATGTTGTTCATCATTTCACGATCAACGCAACGAAAGCCTCAAACGCACCACAAAGTATATACATTACCCAGTATTTCAACGGACATAGTATTTCAGTACTTCAGTACTTACTTACTTTTTATCACGTCTCATACATTGGGACAACAACTTCGTGCTTTGTATGTGTATGACGGACATCAGGAAGTCGCTGTCTATCAAGGCTCAGGCGAATCTCTTCTCCGAGGTGAACCTGCTGATCATGTCGTAGGCCCACTTGGGCTGGTCGAACGGCAGGATGTGGCCGGCGTTACGCACCATGACCTGGGTCAGGGCGCCGGCGTGTCGCTCGTAGCCGGCCACCTCGTCGCCGACGTACCAGACGTGCCTCTTGGACTGGACGAACTGGTCGCGGCCCTTCCAGGGCAGCTCCCGCACCATCTGCTCCGTGCCGATGTAGTCGATGATGACGTCCATCTGACCGTTGTAGATGAGGACGCTGTAGTCGGCGTCCAGCAGCGCCGCGATCTTGTCACGAACCGTGCGCATGATGTCGCCCTCCAGGTGCTTGGCGACATCCGAACCGTCGTTGTAAGCGAGGGTGCCGACATGAATGGCTGCTCGAGTCGCCGAAGAAGTTACGAAGGTAGGGTAGTAGGAAAACTCGACCGGGGTCGATTGCAGGAGGTAGTTGTAGACAAATCTAAGTCCAGTTATCTCTTCGTAAACCCCCATGGCTTCCCCGAATCTGGCCGATGCCTCTTTGAACTGGCCGTTCTTGATGAAGTCTGCTGTTTCGTTCTGGAGCTCCAGTAGCTGGTCGCGGACACGCGCTGACACGAGGCCGACGTTGTAGAGGAAGTGCCCATAGTCCAGCTGGTTGATGGGGTCGCACAGACCGTCACCGATCGCCAGACCCTTGAGGTTGATCTTGCGCTTGGCCGACTGGTTCTCCTGGTGGATCTTGTAGGAGATGGCCGGCACGTACTTGCCGGCGTAAGACTCGCCGGTGATGTAGAAGTCGTTGGCGCGGTAGCTGTCGAAGAGCGTGAAGAACTGGTCGAGCGCTGCGTACAGGTCCCTGGCGACGTCGTCCTCGTTGTTGGCGTAGCCGTCGTCGCTCTCGGTGAAGCTGAAGCCGGTGCCGACCGGGTTGTCGATGTAGAGCACGCTGTGCGTGTTGTGCCACGAGTACTGGCGAGGGTGGAGTTGCATGGCGGCGTCCACGCTGAACGGACCGTTCTCGACGAACAGGCCGAACAGGCTCGATCCTCCCGGGCCGCCCTGCAGCCAGAGCACCACCGGCGCGTCGGCGGCGCCGCTCTTGGTCGGGAAGAACCAGAAGAACATGTTGGAGTTGTGCGTCGAGTTGACGGTCAGCAGGCCGGCGAAGCTGCTGACGTCCGTCTGCAGACCGCTGACGCGCGCCATCTTCCGTCCCTGCTCCAGTTTGCCGGTGCGGATATAGGGCGTGAGGAAGAGCGCATCTCCGGCATCGGGGGACGCCTGGTGGGGCGGCACCTCGGGGAAGAACTGGCCCAGAGGCGTCTGGAGCGCGCCGGCCGGCCCCAGCAGGACGGCGCTCACCAGAGCCAGGCACCAGGACCGCATGGCTGCGCCGCTGACGACGGGCCGCGACTGGCTGTGGCCGTAGCCCGTGAGCGGCATACCGCCAGACCGGGGGTGGTTCAGATCACATATCACGTGACCGACAGTCAGCGCCGCCCGGTGGCTGGACTCTGCACTGTTTGGTAAATATGATCCAGGCGCCAGTCACCCCTGACTCAGCAGAAAGCTGTTACTTAGTCTGCTTTATTAGTTTTTGTTGCTCAAGTGGAGTGTCTCATTTCTGCTTATGTATCTTTGTTCCTAACCCGAGCTCTCCAGGGCCTGACTGCGCAGTGTAATTCGACATGTTGAAAAAATGCCCGACATAACTGCTACGTTTGCCCATGTCTCGTGATTTGCCTCGCGTCCAGTCACCCACACCTCGTGCTTTGACCATTACCCTGTAACGTGACCTTAACCACCTCACCTGACCCATGCCCGGTGATCTGATCTGACCCCCCTCTGTCCAACAGCAAATGGTGCACACGGCCCAGATGACGTCACCGTTCCCGTTGCCGGCTCCGCACGCCGAGCCGGCCACCTCTGGCGCCGCCACAGGAGGGAAGGCTGCTGATCAGGCCAAGGAGGCGGCATCGGCAGCAGCGGCAGCAGCGGCAGCAGCAGCGGCGGCCACCAGTCTGGCCCAGCCGGGCCTAACGGCTCTGGCGGCCGCGGCAGGGGCCCCGAACGGCCGCGAGCCACCGCCGGCCACCGCGGTGAGGGAGAGGGGTCTAGAGAGCCAGAGAAATAGTGAGGGAAGAACTAGTGTGTTGGTATAGATATCAGTTTCCTTTTGTTTGGATGAGGAACAAGGAAAATACCCAACAGTGGCTCAAGTCGGTGATATGGTGCAGTTTTGGATACTTAGATCCGAACAATATTTGGGGACGAACTTTTATTTTGACAGCAATGAACGAGACATGCGAAACTACAGCAATGATCTGATAATCTAATTGGTAGTGGATCGAATAACAATTGTGTTCCGCCGCGGCCTGATGCTGTTAAAGGGACCCTCCCACCTTCAAAAAAGTTAATGAATTGGCATGAAAGTGATGTCTCTTGGTTCAGAAAGAGCGAAAACGAATATCTACCAAATTTCACCGAAAAATATTCACTGGTTTTCAAGGTATTAGGCTTTTACTTTTGTTTACTTTTTGGGATCTCCCCTGTTACTAGCGACTTTATTTGGAAGCAATAATTTGGCAGCCTTAAAGTGCGGCAGACGTTGCGCGCAAAGCAGCGTATGCCACCACGTGTTAACGATGGTTTTAGTCTAAGATTTAAAAATCGTTAGATCTCCGCTGACGTCACAAATTCTAAAGGGGGCATTCCAATGCATTAGCCCCTTAGAATCCGAAAACTGCAAGTTTGAAATTCCATATCTTCGAATTAAAGCATTTTTCGATGTTGTGAGTGCCCAAACCGGTATTTGCAGGCCATGGCCACCAATTTAGCTATCTCAACTCAAAACTAATGTTAAGGTGGGAGTGTCCCTTTAAGTGCTCTGTTGGCCTTTTCTGTCCATCACCGCCCCCGACCCGACAGTACTGAATCCTCCCCACCCGGCACCCACGCTAATCGGTATTAGGGTCCCCTAATAAAGTTTAGTGGCCCCTCTGGAACCCACACTATTGAATCCTCCCCACCCGGCACCCACGCTAAACTCCTCTTGTTCTTTCCGTTCCAGGTAACTGAGAGCGGCGGCGATCCGCCCGCCGGAGCCGGCGACGGCGAGGGAGCCGCCGCCGCGCCCGCCGCCGGAGGGGTCGCCCCCGCCCCCGCCCCCGCCGGCGCCGCCACGGCCGGCGCAGCGGCGACCAAAGAGCAGCCGAAGCGTCTGCACATCAGCAACATACCGTTCCGGTTCCGAGATCCCGATCTACGGGCCATGTTCGGGGTGAGAAGGGAGAGGGGGCGTTTGGGGTGACGTGCAGAAAGCTACATTTTGGTGGACTTTAAATCGATAAATTTGGAAGGTAGTTAGTACAGCTTCCAAGGTAAAATAGAGTTTTAAAGCTAAGCTCTTCATGATATTTGGTAGTTACTTTCATGACATTTATTAGTTACTCTAGTGCGATGATTGTGCCGACAAGTGTGGTCATTGTTTCTTAGATATCACCGGAATGATTATCATTAATCCTTGTATTGAATTAACAAGCCTTGTTGCCTGTTTCAGCAATTTGGTCCGATTCTCGACGTGGAGATCATTTTCAACGAGCGAGGCTCCAAGGTAGGGTTTGCCGGAATTGACGATCGCTGTTAGCCTTGATATTCAATAGCCATGTTTTCATTTGGCATATTCTATGTAAATATAGCTCAAGTTATCAGAAGTCTTGCTAGCATTTATAATAATGTAATACCTATGTAACGTAATCTACAGACGTCATTTGATTAAGGACAGATATTAGCTACACATTAACTTCGTTTTATGTACTGCTAGAAGTTTGTTGTTCCAAGCGTTTTGAAGGACCCACTCTTCTCTGCTGATGATCGTTTATAGGGGTCTGATTATCATTTTTGGCATGTGTTGGACAATCATTGTCTTGCTACTTCTTTTGTTGTATATTTCTTCTATCGGCTCTCAGTTTTGCCATACGATCGGCTTCATACCATATCTGATTGTGAGGATGCTTGCCCTTGCCGATTGTAATGAGATGGCTAAATTAGAATTAATCGTAAGCCCAGTTTGCCTTTCACTAGCGCTGTTCACTGTTGATATGTCAGTTAGCCCCCACTCAGCTGTTTCGTGTTTGCCGATGCTCGTGTACCCGTTTCGTGTGTCCATAAGCTGGGAGCGCACAGCTCGGGTAGTTGGTGTCGGGTCTGGCCTGTCCCCGGTCCCGGTACATATCCTCTCCTTCTGATTCCGGCCATGTTTCTCCGCAAGTGGCAGCGACTAACCGAGCGACTCACGTGCAGATTTAGTGCTTTGACTCTAAACTCACTGACACTCACTCAACTCTCACTCAACTCCTACCCGGCCTCGGTAATCCGAATATGATCCGCGAGTTTTCCTTTCGTCCTAACATCACAACTCTTTACAGTTCAAAATTTTCCTCGTTTCAAAAGTATAACTGGTCTAGCTATTAGCACATCATTTGAAAAATGTAAGCGGTTTCCAGAGTGATTTGATTTTTTTTTTGTGTCTATCTTTTGCAATATTTTGCATTGACGCCTTTACGTGCTAAGCACGATTTCAAGTTACGAGCTACGAGTTCAAACCTTACGAGTTCATATGCGTACAAATGTAACCAAATCAGTCGCGTTCTGAAGTCTGACCCCATCCAGCCGTTCTCCCGTGATCGCCCCCTGTTCCCCCTCCCCCATCCCCGCCCCAGACAGAGCCAGGTCACTCCGCGGCCGGTGCCGTGCCTTTCTCAGTCAGTCTGTCTGTCGGAGTAGCTCGATGTCTGACTGCTGGACGGCTCCCCGTCTGGAATTGTGACCCAGTGGGAGCTCCTGGTCCTAGTTTATCTGTCAGTATCCCGTATCATGGCCAACGTTCAATCCTTCTTTGCTTTTGTTTCGGTTAGGTCCTTTTGATTTTGTCCTTTTGATTTCTTCCTTGCTGCCTTCAATGGCTCAAAGGAAATCACAACTTTTTCATGATATTTTCTTACGTAGCCCTCCTGCTACCAATCGTCCTATCCTTTTTGCTCCCGTCGCCTTTGCTTATGTTTTTCTTCATCCTGACGAAAAAAAAACATCATGATCCATGTGCTCTCTTTCCAGCCTGACCTGGCCTTGCCTGACCGTGCCTGACCGGACCTTGCCTGGCTTACCAAATATTGCCTTTTGTCGACTAGGCCTGTGCTATTCCTTCATGCCTTGCCATCCTTTTCCTGTCTCCTTGCCTGGCTTCACTCCTCCCCCGTGTCTGGATCTGTCCTCTCCCCGCCTTGCTCCTCCCTCTCCCCGCCCTGCTCCTCCCTCTGCCTGTCCCACCCCTCTCTCCCTGGTGACTGCGCACCTCAGCACTCTAGAGCAGCCTGGCGGGCGGCCGGCGCGCGCGCTCCGCCGCCGCCGCCGCCGCCCGCACGCTCGTCCGGCATCTGGGCGGCATGTGAGACCGGCCGGCGCCGGGTCTGACGCCTGCCGCCCCCGCCCCCGCCCCCGCCCCCGCCCCCTGTCTCTGCTGCATGGTGCCTGCGCGCGGCCGGCCGCCGCCCCGGCGCAGGGATTTGGGTTTGTGACGTTTGCCAGTAGCGAAGACGCTGACCGCGCTCGTCTCAAGCTTCATGGACAAGTGGTTGAGGGCCGGAAAATTGAGGTGCGTGTCGCAAACGAGCCGCCTGAGCGCGCTGCCGCCAGGGTGGAGGTGTGATCCGGGGCAGCACGGCCGCATGGTGGTAAAAATGCCAGGCTTGCTGAATTTCTAAAAGCTAATTGTCAGTCAAACTTGTCGGAATTGGACAAATGTCGAAATTTGAAAACAACATGTAACTGAGCTTCACTTTCCGAGTTTTTTTTTTGTTGTTGTTACAAGTTAGTGTAGTTTTTCTTTTCAAATAACCCTTTGACCTTCCTAAAAAAGTTTTTCTTTCTTTAAAGCCTCAGCGCTATCCAGATCTCAACTAAGCCGTTTTGGCTGCCCGGCTGCACCTCTGCCCTCCCGGTGGCCGGTAGCACTGCCGGAGGCGGGGAGAAGGGGCGCCACCCCCCCCCCCCGCCACCGGTAGCCACCCCGCATGTGCCACCGAGTGTGGGGGTGTGGGGCGGCCCGGCCGGCGGCGGCGGACTCGGTTGTAACCTAAAACTGCCACCGTGACGTCATCATGACATCACGGTGGCAGTGTGTCTCGGTCGGCCGCTGGCCGGCCGCCCCGTCCCTGCTGCCTGACTGAGGCCGCCGCTGGGCGCCTATACTAGCTCTACTGTCGGAAGGTGCTCCTAAATGGGGGGACGGTCACACATGATCACTCATTGCTCCGGCCGGGTTGGAGTTTTGTCTAACATAGGTACTTTATCTTGAAATTGACGGAACCTTGCATTTTCTACGATCATTTATAGCTTTTCCATTGCTTGGGATCGACTTTGATGGAAGCTCCTGTGCAAACTTCAGATTTTTTTTTTGTTCATAAGAGACACCGAAGCAGCTTATTACTTGCCAACTGTTGTTTCTGACGAATCTTTGGCACAAAATTCTCTCGGGCGAGTGTGCACCTTGCTTTAACGAAGCTCTGCCTACATTCAGGCAGTGGGCTTCTTCAATTTACTTACCCCTCCAAAGGCATGTGAAAACGAGACAGACCTAATGTAAAAAATGGTTTAAGTAGTTCCGATATGATTCTAAGTATCCTAGCACGTGACCGTCCCCCTGGGTGCCCCCCGGCGCCGCACTCTGTACTCTAACTGGCTGCCCGTGAACCACGGTGTGTGCGCGTGTGTGTGTCTGTATGTCTGTCTGTCTGTCTGTCTGGCTGTGACTGACCTGACGGCACGCAGCTCGACGTTAGCCACGCCCACTACCACTCTGCCCGTGTCACCGGCGGCTCCTCGAGGCCCCCGCGGTGCTTGACGCCTCTCTAGGAATGCTCGTGTTGGCTGAACAGATTGACCTTCAGCTCGGCTGCTTGGATGTGTGATGTCCACAACAGGGGAGAATGCAGACGCCGGCCGGCGCAGTCGCTTGCTAGCTAGGAGGTGTCACGCAGACTGTCCGGGCACATAACGTTACGTGTGACGTCACACAGTGGCTGTTGGTGACGTCACACACAGGCTGCTGGTGACGTCACGGCTGGGAATGTTGTATCTAGAGTGAGCTGTGCTGCTCCCGGAGAGTGCAATGGGTGGCTGGTCTGTCTACACTCTCTGACTGATTCACTGACTACCCTAACCGGCACGAGAGAGACCCACGGGGCGCCTAGTCTGGGCTGTGTACTCTGCATTTCAATAGATAATTGTAGCTAGTGCTTCCGACGGCTCCTCACGGTAATATGCTTCTTATTCATTTGAATATCCAGTTTTGAAGCGGCCATGATGGAACGCTGTGCGCGTGAATATGTCACTTTTTGAGATGAACACCTTTCCGGCCCCGCCCGCTCTTCATGTAGCTCTACTCATCACCGGTTCTCTGAGCATGCCACGTCCCTCGGTGGGGTTTCTGTGTCCCTCCGCGGCCGCGCCGGGTGCCTGTCCCCTGGATTGACCCCCCAGCTGAGGGGATGCCTGCCCGCTCGAGTCTGTGTCGCGGCGCGGCTCTGAGCCACCCTCTCTGCTCTCACCCTCTCGATTTGTGGACTGGAAACACGCGTGGCCTGCCTGCCAGTTGACCGTGTGGCTTCGGGTGAGCGCGTGTCTCTCGTTGTGTGACCTGCGGCCAGAGCTGTTTGGTTGGCGGCTGAGGGGAGGCGGTGGCCGTTTAGTGCACCGCACACTAGTCTAACGCACGAATGACGCGCGCGCGCGCGAGCTGCCTGTGACCGTGCCGGCTTTGGTCCCGCCCGCGGGACGGTTGGTAGTGTTGTATATATCTATTGTAACTGCGGGCACAGATCGGACTCCTGCTCAGTTTCCGTATCATTACACAGACCTATAATAACATTCCCTGATCCGAAATGGGGTTCAAACCCTGGGGGTTCGTTGTGGTTCCAAATCTATGCATCCGTCGTTTTCTTCTTTGCTTCTCCGGGATCTTGCGGGCACAGTTGTAAGTAGAAGTACTAAATTGTAGCTGGACGTACAAAGTTCCCTAAAATCCTGACATCATGCATTGTGGCTTGGCTAGCATGGCAATGGATTCACGGTTCTAGCTGGCATTGATAAGCCTTTTTGGATTTCCATGTCCCAAGTGACCGCCGACCGGGTGATCTCTAAGGATCTGGGTCGACCTGGGCTGACCTCTGGTGTCCCCCGGCTACCTGTGGCGTCCCCTGGCCACTGGCGGTGACCTCTGGTGATCGCCGCCCGCCCCTCCGCCCGCGCAGCCGCTGCCCCGTCGGGCTATCGTCGGCCTCATAGGCTATTGGAGAGAGAGAGAAACACATGGTGATATCTTCGTCACGGGTCAGCGCGGAAACAGTGGTGACGCGTCGTGGGTGACGCACCGTGCTCGGTGGTGACGGGTGAGTGACGTCATTGTGGCGGAGAGCGAGCCGCGCTCCATCCAGGTGTACTCCATTTGTGGTCCACCTGTGGTCGGCGTTCGTGTGATCATGCGCCACCCGCGCTGGTTTTATTTAGCTTGTCAAAGTCCTGCGGATGGCTTTTGCAGGTGCCTTGCTTCCATGGGGTCCCCTGACATTGTTATGTGACCTTTGACGATGCACAGATTGACTGCCTTGGATACCTACACTAGGACGTGGATCCTTGGTTGTTCAAGCCGGCATGAGCTCCTACGAAATAGCTGTGTTGAAAATATCTAGCACGTAAACGCAACAGATCAACCGATCACAGGACCTGATATGCCTCGATAAGATGAGATGTATAAGATATCTGAATGGGTGGGATAGATACCTGAATGGGTGGAATGCTTGGGGTCGAACGCGCACAGTCCTTTGATAAGTCTGATCCGTCTCTGTCAGAATCAATCGGGCCTGAAAAATATGCGGAAACAGAGCTGAAATTCAATACAAAATGCAATCAGCAGAGGCTTATAGTTGGCGTCAGAAGTAGGTATAATTGTGTTGGGGAAGGGGCTATTGAGTATTAGGACTGATGATTACCTTAGTACCTATGCGGTTGATGGGCAGAAGCTTAGCTGCTTCGCTTGGACGATGAAAGGGAATACAGACATTGAACTTGTCCTAGTGACGACTTTTCTGACGGTTTCTAATCCAATGAAGAACGTCATTTTCATGGGTGAATGCGATCGTTTTACGATTCCAGGTACAAACATTATGTCACGTCTAAAATTTCGTTCATAAGAGGTGACGCCAATGCCGACTTTCCATTCATTCTTCCATTTATCCGTGCCTCCACGAAAAGAACCAAGCCTTCCGTATGTGCCGGGAGCAGTTTAAACTGTGTACCAGTGTTATACCGACACCAGGCGCTGCCTTAGCCACGAAATGGGCGACGTTTCACGATGTTTAGTCACCAGTTTCAAGGAGGTCTTGTTTTTCCAACGAGCGTGAGTAAACGTCGTTTGCGATATCTGAAAACTCGGCTTATTTTCGTCAATGTGTTTATGGAATGGGGGCCTGGAGTTTACTTCTGTTGTTTGGTTCTTCGAAAGTGGAACTTTAAGAAACGCTCAAAACCTAACCGTGCCTAGCTAGCATAAATCTGCAGATGTCATTTTGCTTGCGTGAGGCAAAAGGAAGTATCGCGAAATATCAAACGAATGCTAAGTGGGATCCCATCAAACTTGGCGAAACGATTACACACATGGATTACACATTCGTCAGAACATCTGTGATCTGCAAGCAACTTCTTTCACACAGTATACGATCATTATAAAGTGTTGTCATGCGTAATCGATGGTACTCTTTTATAACCCTTTTCAGCTATGGCGAGTGGCGTGAGTGGGCGTGTGTTTGTATGCGTGCCTATGAGCGTGCGTGTGTGGTTTCTGTGCTCTGACCCTGGCTCGTTTGATGACGTGGGACTGACAGTTCACAGGAGAAGCCGACGGGATGCGGGCGGATATTGGACTCCTCAGGGCGATTGTCGCTGAAATGGCTTGTGTCTGGTGCTGTGTGAATGTTTTACATGCTGAATGACTGCTTTCGTTTTTTTCAATCGTAAAGCTTTTCACTTTTTTCATTTCAATAATCAATCTAATATCAAGAGTCATTTATATTTTAAAATGTTGACAATTTGGCTATCATTAGGTGATCACTTCTACTAATCATGCGAATTTAAAAGCTGTAATCAACTAAGGTAGTTTTTAGCAGATCAGTGCCTATCTCTACGACATACAATGTGCTGGTATTTACAGGACTGAGATTGTCTGCTGGATGCCCTTCACGCCGTATTTGTTTCTGTATCCCTTATATCACTACGTCCTTCTAACCCACCGCTCACGTCACAGGTCAACAACGCCACCGCCCGCATTCAGACCAAGAAGCCCTCCTCGTCCTCATCGGCGCTACCCAATGGTGAGTGTGACGTCATCGGATCGCAACGGGTGACGTCAGAGGGGATGAATGAGTAGCGGGGAGTTTGTGAATTTTGTATCAGCAATGTCAAACGGTTAATGTTCTGTTCATGTGGCGATAAGGTTCCTGTGTCAATTTTGAGAGCGTCATCAGGATATGTGAAGGTAAAGAAGGTTAAAACGATACCAATCCTTAGTTTTATCGATCGTAATATCCTAAGCCCTTTCATGAATCGAGGGAGCTGAACATCGAATTGCATAGAAGCGTGAATTTATGCACTAGGTATACGCATATCTAACGTTACCAGATGATTTCGGCTCGGGTAGGGACATTTCATCGTTGGTTGTGATGCGACTTTACTAGTACCTACCTACCCCTTTATTTTCTGTCAGACAACAACAATATCTTCAACTCAGCCAGTTGAATAGTTTCGACATAATACGCGCGTTACGAGTACTCATACCGTCCATGTTTTGAATTGGTCGCTTCATAAGATGACTGTCTGGGGGTATGGGATTTGAAATGCACGTGCAAGTCTCGGTTTAGGATACCTCCTGTTGTGATTGACCTGCCTCCACTGCTTTGTCATTACCAAATCAGCATGTGTTGGTGTTATGTGCTGGTATTTTTCATACTGTCTGGTTGCCATTTTGAAAATACCAATCGGCATCGTACCTAGCCCATCGGTATTGTACCATAGTTTGGCGTCTGGACTTTGTCATACTGTGCCCCCCCCCCCCCCCGAGAATCGAGATACGTGCATCGGAACGCTTTGTCCTTGATATCCTTGTTTGCATTTCCAGATTGTTCCTCTTCATTCATTGCATACGCTTGCTCACAATTCGTTGAGAGAAGGCTACCAATACGATTCCGTCCTTTATTCTTCTGTAGTCTCCGTTTTCCTTATCTGTTGTCTTCAGTTTCCAGTCATTCGTTATAGGTGTGCATTTACCTTTCGGCTTTCATCACTTAACCTCTTCTATGCACATTGAAGCACCGTCCCCAGTTCCTTCCTCCGCCGCCCGCTCCGTAGCCTCTGCTCGTGTCTGGGTAGCCTCTGCGCGCGTGCCCCTAATGTCGATGCTGTGTCTCTGGTTGAAGTGGCGCTGCCCAGAGGTGCTCTGCTCACGGCTCCGCTGGGTGAGAGAGGAGACAAACCCGCCGAGACGCGTCTCCCTCCGCCAGAGCATGATCGCTGTCTCCCCCGTCTCCTCCGCATGGGAGTGTCCCGCATGGCAGTCCGCGTGCCCTGTGCGGTGTCTCTGTTTTTTTTTCTCTGGGGCTGTGTGTGCACGATGCTGCTGCTGTATGAGGTCATGCAGGTCATGGAATGTCAACTTTTGGTCCCGCTGCCAGCAGTGTTTTTGGAATGGTTATGTCGACGCTTGCCTGATATGCTGGTCTCTCAGCTTTGCTGCCTGGAAAACCTTGGTCCTCACCATTGCTGTGACCATCTGTTGCGAATTTGCCATGTTTGTTTGAATGAATCGATTCTGTGCGTTGCACAATTGTGTGAATGTGAGATCAACATGCAGCTGCATTGTGCTGTGATGTGGCTCTAATATGATAATTCCCTGCACGGAAGTCAGTTTTCTTCAGGCACAATACACACCACTGGCTGCATGCGAATGTCTCATGCCTGTTGCGTTCGGTTGGACATCTAACACAAAATTGTCAAGCGGATCTCGCTCCTTCAAATTTTGTACTTCAGCTGATAAAAGGGATTTCCCAACATCACGACCTGTGTATAAGAAAATCAATCGTTTTATTTTTGTGGCTAGTTAAGTTTAAAACAATGCTAACATTGTTAACCTCTGCGGTGGTCTTTTTTTCAACACAGAATATCAACATGTGAATGTAAGCTGGCGTGCAGCTTGGTCATCGGATGTCTATCCCCACCCAGGTTTTATTTCCTTTCTGGAGCCCCTTAGGACATGACGCTGACAGCCAATGCTCTCGCGTTCACCCCCTCCCATCTCCGCCCCGTGTGCCCCGTCTAACCCCCCTCGTTTCGACCCTCAGCGGCGGCGCTGCGCGGCGCCGCCCTGCGCCGGGGCAGCGTGCGCGCGCTGCCGGCCGCTGCCGCCGCGCCGTTCGCGCGTCATCCGACCCCGCTGACGGCTGCCGCCGCCGCCTCGGCGCTCCATGGATACGCGCCGTGAGTGGTTCAGTCTGAGTTTGTGCTTTTGAGTGTGTATTTGGGTTGAGGAATGCGTTGACCACGAATGCGGAATGCGCCCTCACACGGTGATTGGGGTAATAACGTGAGTGGGGACGAGTTAAGATGGCCGGAGTGATGCCAGACTTGTTATCTTGAGTAGTGACGCCACATTATCGCAGGGAATGTTTGATTTTGTGAGTAGCTGATATAAAAACACGTCATTTATAAAAAGTTATTTTTGATAAAGTATCATGCTGCACATACTTGGTATGTTGTGAATTCACTCCTCGTTTTGGTGCTCGGATTTAGTTTGTTAGATGTCTCCTTTGTCGTTCAGCTGCAGGTGGTTTTGATCATGATTCAACAATTATCGCGATAAATATACTGCCTCTGCTGACCGTTTGGCTCTGTCCTGTTTCAGGTTTTACTACGACCCGATGATGGCGAACCCGGCGATGGCAGCTCAGCTCCAGGTAGGTGGTGGTAACGAACATCTGGTGACGGAAAGACCATCGGCCAGCTCTGTTCATAGAGATCTTACGTAGAGGTCGTGGAGATCGTATGTATAACATAGCTAATTTTGTTGGCTCCGGTGACTATTTAATGGCGTACGGGTGGTGTTTGGCTTTGTTTCGAAATATGTTGCCGGAATGGGAGTAACAACCCGAGTAATTAAGGTGGATCTGAGTAGATTGAATAATGGCCAATGAGTTGCTACGGCTATTAACTGCCCACCTTGTTAAATTGTTGTGCTCATCATGTTGCATGACAGTTGTATCATTTAAGGTATATTAATTGTTTTTTGTTGCGTCAGAACTAAAACCTCTCGCCGTACCAGCCAACCCTACGACTTGGCTGGTGTTGTCTGATCTAGTTGTCACCTGTCCCGTCTCACTGACGACTTATTGTCCTCCCTCGTTTCCAGTCTGGTCCGGCGGCGGCGGCGGCGGCCGCTGCCCAGGCGGCCCTGCTCAAGGGGCCGGCCGTATCTCTGGCCCAGCCCGTCTCGGCGGCCGCCTACAGCGCCGCCGCGGCGCGCGCCTATACGGCCGCCCTGGCCGCCCAGCAGCCGGCTGGCCTGGCGGCGGGGGCGGCCTCGCCGGCCGGGCCGGCCGCCGGACCGGCCGGAGCGGCGGCGGCGGCGGCGGCCGCCGCTCAGCAGGCGCAGCTGGCCCAGCTGGCCGCTCTGGGGTGAGCGCTAGTTCGGGAAGGGGATAGGAGATAGTACTCAGCCTGTAGAGACGCCCGCCGGGTATTCGATTCTACTTCCCCCCACCCGTATGCTGATTGCGATCATGGCTGCTCTTAGTTGGACATCAATGATAGGTGATTTGGACAAATATGTTCGAAATATGCTCATCTGAATGTTACGAAGCCTTTCACATGACATGTCTTTATCAGACCTTCCGTTTTTGTTGTTAAAGAAGACATAAATGTGCAGGGTTTAAATGTGCATTTTGCGAACCTGTTATAGTTCGTTTTTTTTAAGTTTGACCCTCACTGTAAACGTCTTTTTGAACAAACCACGAGAATTCCTAGCTGAATTACTGAGAAAACTGGTTGGCGCACACTGATTAAACCAGATTTCACAGACGATCAATTTCATCAAATTTATTTACTATTTCACAGACTCGTAAATCGTATCTGCCAATACCTACAGCCTCACAGGGATAGACGACTTCTCAGGACTTATGTCTGAACTAATAAATAAATTGCACGGCGCTTAACATAACGTTAAATCGTCGATGTTCAAAACTTATTTTTGAAAATATTATTCATATCTACAATACAATGTGCGCTTACCAGTTTTCTCAGTAATTCAGCTAGCAATTCTCGTGCTGTGTTCAAAGAGACGTTTACAGTGAGGGGCAAACTTAAGAAAAACGGACTATAGTTGATCCTTGCTATAATTTGCGCCAGTCACTTAATTCTCATTCGCTTTTTTCACCGAGGTTAATTCTGACGTGCAGCCAGCCAACACATGAGATTATATTCGCATATCAACATTAGAATTAGTTCTCTTTTAACCGTTGTATAATTTCATCGCTTTGCTACCGACCCATTCCCGCGCAATGTTGTGTTGTGACCGGTCCCTTACGGGCATGTTTCAGTATCCCGACGTCTGGGGAGTACGGATCGGATCCGTACCTCGGACACGGAGTGGGACCCGTCGCCGGATACGGGGTACGTACCGCGTGCATGGACGGGTACTCGGTGTACAGAGTACCGTGTACCTGTCCGATGTGGAGATGACGTCCGAACATGGACACTTTCCATCGTTTCGAAGTACGTCAGTAATGTCTGGATGTTGTGGGAATGCTGATTATTTAGCGACATCGAGCACGCCTTCAAACCATGGATGAGATAATATATACTAAACCGCGAGTAGGTAGAACATAGGTGAGACGTTTAAAAGACTTTTTCTACCACGTTTAACAATTCAGTTACACGACATCTGATAATTTTCTCTCTTTGCACGTGAAGCAATTGTAAACACTGTCTACGGTGCGGGATAATACTGGATTGGTGTCTCGTGGAAATAAACACAGGGATCCGCGACACTTAGAATCAGGTCTGCCATCTAGCGAGAGAATTATGGTTAGGTAGTGGTAAGCTAGATAGTTATTGGGAACAGGCCTGCCATCTAGCGAGATAATTAAAGGTAGACTGCCACCTTTTTTCCACAAAACGGTTTTCACTGGAGCTGAGCCACCTATGTCCCAGACTGAAGTCGGTTTTCCGAAATTCGAACCCGTTTGCGAGAAATCGGAGACCAAAGTTCAGTTTGATGCCATTTTTTTAGTCCAAGAAAACCGACATCTCTACTGTTTATCGATAACTTTGAAACACGAATTTTCTTATCTTTTGGTAAATATATGTCAAAACTTTGATTGTTTCGAGATCAGAGAAGAATTTTGGAGTGTCAAAATAAAAGTTAAACCTATATATTCAGTAGTTCATTTTTTCCAAAAAAGTGTGGGAAATGGGGTTTAACATGGGCGGCAGACCCATTCCAAATGAGCCATGATTTTTAAATGTTTTACGAACTTAAATGCAAAATAAATTAAACATGGCCAATTTCTTATGAAATCATATAGTAGTAAATCATAAAATACCTTACTTTTTCAAATAAAATGTAATAATCTTATGACCTTGAAGTCTAGTGATGTGTAAACATTGTCGCTAGACATTAACCGATTGATAATTGTATGATAATCGACAATTTTTTTCGCGATTCACGTGATGATACTTTGTCAGGTGAATTCTAAAATTTTGTTTTGTCCAGGGAATAAATCATAGGCCGATCTGAGAAAACTTTTTGAAGGTGGCAGTCTTCCTTTAAAGGGACAGTATCACCATTTTGATGAAATTTGACATTGCATAGGCCCCACCTTTCTGGTCCGGGAACTGAAGACCGATCCTCGAAGCTCCACACCGTTATCCCGCTATCGCCGCTCAAAGTACGAAAGGTGTACCACACTTTGAATCGTGCTTCACTATCTTCACTGTTTAAATGTTTGCGCCGTTTTGAATTGACCGCCAGTAATAAAACTTTTACCCTGGTCATTTCATCAAATTTTATAAAGCCAAAACGTTTTTCGCACTTATTCATCACCGTTAAATTCATTAAATAGTCGTAGGCAATTTCCGCTGTTTCCTTCGGATTCTAGCGGCTCAACAAAGGAATTCCTCCATCTTGAATCACAATCTCCCTCCAATGTATGACGTTTATCACGTGATTGTCACGTGATATTTTCTCCCATTGTCAATTGTCACGTCCAATTGTCACTCCCTCCAATTATCACGTTATATTTTTATAGGCAATACCTAAGGCTACCTCTCCCTAAGGACAACTCAATCAGAAGAACGACCGCGTAAGCGTAGCGTCAATAATGTATTATCTGCGCCAGTTCTGTAGTAATTTTGCATGCTTCCAAACTGGCGGCCATGCTTGTATAGTGGTGGTTCGCTCATGAAAATGAATCATGAAAATGAAATGTGGTTGCAATATTTTTCACCGAGTTCGGTCCTCAAACTATGTTTTTCTGATTCAGAAAAATAAGAAATGCTAGTAAAAAAAAAATCAGCTCCATACATGGATTTTTTTTTCGATGATACTGTCCCTTTAACGTTAGGCAGTGGTAAGCTAGATGTCAAGCCTGAGCTCAATATCACCCAAAACTGCTAAGACACCAATCCAGTATTATTACATCCATGCTTAAACCTTATTTATCCGGCATAGAACTGAGGACGCAGTCTGCTTTTTTATGTAGGTACAACTTATGTTTATCTCGAATGGGTCAGTATTTAGTTGCATTGTAATATTACGCCTGTAAATATATGACTATGAATGAGACATTGTTTTGCTGAAGGGTCATCGTATGGAGTTACCGATTGATTTGAATCCGACAGGTAGCTAAGCTAGGCATTTTCAATATTCGGTACCTGACAGAGTTCCTGGGATGTCGCCGTTGCACCTCTGGTCCGTCTTTGTGTCTGTGTTCCAGTTCTGACCGTTTTCATGTCTTGCTCTGTGACCATCTACCGCTCGCATGTTCTGACCGCTGTATGTCGTTTTGGCCGGCAGGCGAGTATGTACCGGGGAGCGTACAACCGGTTCGCGCCGTACTAGAACCACCTCACCACCAGTGGCGGCTGGCGATCGGCTGAAAAAAAAAACGCGGCATCTGGTGTTGTTTTCTCTTTGAAATCTGGTGACATTTTACCGGCCGCTGGTGGAACTGCATTGCATGGCAGGGATTTTACCACCAACGAATTTTGACATTTTAGTAAATGCTGTCAGTGTTGGCAGTCATTGTTGGCTCAGGCATTTGAACTCACTGTCAATAGGGCATTGATTGCATGCCCTGTGTATAGGAATCTCGCTCCTGTTGACATGATGTCGTATGCACCGTTCTGCGTTTGGGCGTTCGATAAGTCTCGTGTCTGTTGTGTTCCGCCCTTTTTCGCGCAATTTCCCAGATCTGGGACCGATATTACTGCGACGATGACGTCATCCGGCTGCCAGACGGCGCGACGTCATTACACGGGTGCTGCCAGACCAAACGCCAGTGCCGACGGCATCTGAAGACATTCGCAGAAATTTGGGGATATTTTGTCTCGGGAGCTGTGCGTTGAATTTCGGGTGTCTGCGTGGCCGGCGACTGAGCTACCGGGCGGCTGGGACGCCCGTCTCGACTTTGGGGGTCGATCAACACTTATGGTGGCCCCATCGTCTTGTTTAGGTCGCGATGCAGCGTCAGTGGTCGATTGATGTGAAAACGCCTGTACAATACTCTGGATAAGATCTGTGGCAGCGATCGCGGGTTCGAATCCCACCGTCTGCCGGGTTTTCTCGCCGCCGTCGCACGCACATGGGAATTGGAGGCGGTTGGATAGTCGATGCGAGGTGAATACTGCTCATTTTGTGTTAATTGGAGTTACACCATCTCATGCCGTCATCTGGCCGTCATTTGCCCGTCATCGGACCGTCATTTGGCCGTCATCAGCTGTTTGGTGACTGGCCGGCGCGGTGACGGCCGCCCTCCCGTGTACAAAGTAGGTGCAATGTCATGAATACATCCGCGGACAGGTTGACGGCCATTTTGTGTTTGTTTTTGCTGGGTGACTGAGGAGAGGTGAAACACGTTGAAAGGGGACACATGAGCCATAGCAGAGAAGACACTTCGGGACGATAGACAGTTCCTTCCGACCCTGATCAATTAAAGGGATAGACACAGTGCATCGAGGAGGACCTGGACAGGTGAGAGGGAGGACAGAGACGGGTGAGAGGAGGACAGGGACGGGTACGAGAGAGGACCTGGACAGGTGAGAGATGACAGGGACGGGTACGAGAGAGGACCTGGACAGGTGAGAGGGAGGACAGGGACGGGTGAGAGGGGAGGACAGGGACGGGTGAGAGGGGAGGAGTAACCAGTAATCAGTATGCTTTTGTCTTCAATCTCAAAAAGGGTAATTATTTTCTCGGAGATAAAGTCCCACCCTGATCGCCATTCGTCAACGGCGACACAAGCGCGCATCGCATTTTGTAACCCCACTTCCCCCATCCCCTAGTGACCATCCGACACAACTGAGCTTCCCGTCCCGCTCACCAGATGGCAGTGATCTGTCTGTCCAGTTCAGCCATGACGCCATGACGCCGCGCGGTATCCCCTTCCCCCGATACGGGACCGTGGTGCCCGGCGGGGACGGCGCCGCAGCCGGGGAGCAGCGAAAACGGTGAGCGAGACGTCCATCAACCTCGGACGGTTGGAGAAGCTCTGTGCTCTGTGTATGAGATTGTTGTAACCTAGAGAAAGATATACTGGTTGATGAACCCAGGGTATATTGATGAACCCCTCAGTGACGACCTTCGCCAGACGACCCGTTGAATGGTAATGTGCCGTTTTGCAACACTAAATGTTCTGTACTTAATGGTGCAGATCATTTGTTGTTCAAAATACATGTTAGTGCTTATTTAACGACTTCCCATAGGTGGAGGCTGGTGCCGAGCTGGGGGTGCCCGAGCTCTCCCAATTCCACGCCGGCTTGGCTCTGGAGCCGCAACAGACGGCGGGGTCAAGGTCACCGCTAGGGCGGCGGCGGGTTTGTTGCGCCCGGGCACCTCCAGCTCGGCACAATGTTCCATCTTTGCGACTTCCTATGAACCCTTCAGCGCAGCTAAGGATATTCATTGAACATGAGTCTGCGTTTCCATGTGACCGGGACAGCCAGCCGGCCACCGAGCCGGCCGGTGCCCAGCCCGCCGGCGGGGACTCGCTGGCCGCTCTGCTGAGGAAACAGATCGGGAAACTGGACCTAGACATGGAGGAGCTGGTGGGACCGGGGGGGGGGGGATTTGTCTGAGTTGGTGGTTTGAGTGGTGTCTTTGGTCTGGATCGTTTGGTCCTAGATTTGGGAGCGACTTATATGTGGCGTAGGGATGTTACCCTGGGGTAAATCAGAGAATCCTGGACCTAGTGGAGAAAGTGGCTTCTTTGTAAATGGTAACGTGAGCTGGAGATCTGCTACTTTGTGGCTGAACGGGACGCTGAACTGCCTGAGCTGCTACTAGTCGTGTTCGGTGACCAGAAGACTATTTTTGTTCCGTACAGCCCCGATACTGGCGAGTGGACACGGCCAATTCTCACCCCCACCCCCCACCCCCACCCAACAACCCCCCCCCCCCTGACAGCGGAAGGAGCAGCGGTCCCGCACCAAACACGGCGAGTCGTGCGGCGTGCAGCTGTACGAGCGGCAGCTGCAGCTGGCCAGACAGCAGCAGCAGCAGCTGCAGCTGCAGCAGCGGCTCTCGGAGGCCGCCGAGGCGCGGGCAGCTGCCGAACAGACGCTCACCGCCGTCCGACAGAGACATGGCGAGATTGGCGATCGTCTGGATGCCGACGGGGAGAGGGGTGAGAGGGAGAGAGGGAGGGAGGGGAGGGTCAGAGAGGAAGGGAGGGAGAGTGACAATTAGAGCGATGGAGATGAAAAGATGCTCGAAATGAATCGATACTTTCCATCTGAAACACTGCGGTTGCATTTTATGTTCTTTATTGTATTTTATTATACATAGCATAACTTATTAGACTATATGTTATAATCGGTGCAAAAATACATCGCGACTTCCTGATTGTCCATGATATACAGACCCCAGCAAACATACAAGCTACGATGTTCTGATTCGTCACACCTGTGCTCCAAATCACCGTAATGTATTCCCTCCTCGTCACTACCCGCGTCCCTCCGGCGTATTATGTCCATTTTTCTCTGTATTGGTCTGCCTTATTGACTGCAGACATGTTTGTTTGTTTTGTTTTGTTGGGTTAGGCCCTTTCGGTCTGACAAGACCATTGCAGAGCCGGAAGGATGATAGGAATTAGGGGGAGACATTGGTCTGGGCAGGCACCCTAGTGAGTCGCCGGGGCTGAGCCCGTCCAGAGGACAGGCCACCCAGCCCCAAGGCACTCACTGCACCCGGCTACGGGGTGCGCTCCCTCGGGAGCAGCGGTGCCGCTCCAAGGGAGCAGCCCGCATGAGATAAAGTTGCCTGCCCAGCCCGGAAGGGGGTTGTGGCGTGGAGGAGAAGGATTTCAGTATCCTGAGGATAGAAGCACGGACAGGAGGTGCAGACATGTCACATGCAGTAGGCCCCGCTCGTCGCTGATCGCCCCCTGCCTCTGCGTGACGTCCCCAGAGCGGCAGCTGCGTGCCGACGTGTCTGCTCTGGAAAAGAACGACTACCACCTGAAATCGCTGGAGGCGGACGCCGACACGGAGCTGCAGCTGCGACAGAAAATGGCCGAGAGGGCCGAGGCAGAGATGTCTCAACTGGAGCAGGATAAACAGAGACAGGTATGGAGGGGAGAGAGATGGAGAGAGAGAGAGAGAGATAGAGAGAGAGAGAGAGAGAGAGAGAGAGAGAGAGGGAGAGAGAGAGAGAGAGAGAGAGAGAGAGAGAGAGAGAGAGACCGACGGATACTTGTATTGAGTCCTATAGATAATCGCACATCATACTTTTCATTAGCAGAAAAGCGCCGAATTGCACCCTCGTACAACGTCACGTGATAGTAAGCAAGATCTTCACACTCTAACCCATACTACAGTGTTAGTATTCGAGTAAATACCGTGACACCGGCTCGGTACACATGTCACCGGGGTATCTACACCACTGTGATGTCTCCTTGGTGTGTAGATTAGTACGTTGGTCTGATCTTCATATCGGTTTTCTTCAGTGACTCCCCTCTCCTCCACGTGTTCCACCATATTCCAGTCCAGTCCCATTTACCGCCGTCCCGGTACCGTCCGTTCAGGCTGCTCCCCCCGCAAACGCTGTCGTACCACCAGGGCCCCTGACGGGACTGTGCACAGTGAACGGCAGACCAGCCGTCCTGGTCACGGTCACGGGTAGAGAACTTCTCATTGACGTTCCACCTCAGACCACCCCCGGCAGTTCCAGAGTAGTCGGTACAGCTCAGTGTGTAGCCGTCCTCCTCAGACGAGATACGGAACTGTTGGTATGTAGCGTATGATCTATTGCCGTCAAAAGCCTCGAGATCAATACGGAGTTCGTACCGTCGGCCTGATGACGTAAGCTGATAAACGTGTTCCAAGCCCCACCAGAATTCTTTGGTAACATTACCAAATCCGTCCTTGTAGTCGTTCCATCCGAGGTAGAAGTCCTGGTGTGGCTGGATATCAGCTCGTCGTTGTATCACCGTCCAGTTCCCTCCGGCAGTGGCCATGTCACAGTAGGCCTCGACGGGTGGTTGTCTGATGTTACCACTGGGTCGAAGGAGGTAGACTCCAGATGGGGAGTCGACAGGCAGGTCGCTGCAATCACGAATTCGGTGGTGCTGGTGTACCGGAGCTGCTAGGTCATCAATACGCTCCTGTTGGGATGATGTGTTGCTAATAGCTCCGGTCAGCTTGGATCTTAGAATGTCAACCTGGGAGGTCAGGTTATCCATTCTGACTGAAACTTCACTCTGAGTCGTTTTTTGTTCGTTCAGCTGGGTGTTGAGCTCGCTCAGTTGAGATTGCTGGCTGTTGATCCTTGTAGCCAGTTGAGACGTCTGGTTGAGTTGATCTCCTTGCTGTGTAACGATGGTATCCAGGTGCGCTGTGAGGTTGTTCACTGTGGTTGCGGTCTCCTCTTGTTGCGATTTTTGTTGGTTCAGTTGTGACTGCTGGCTGTCGAGTCTCGTAGCCAATTTACGCATTTCACTCACATGTTTTTCCATGTTGATGACGATATCACTCAGTCGTTCTGTGAGGTCGTTCACAGTGGCTGTCGTCTCGTCCTGCTGGGATTTTTGGCCGTTCAGCTGTGTGACGATCTCGTCCAGCTGAGTCTGCTGGCCGTCCAGTCGGCCGGTCAGCTCCTCCATTCTGCCCTCCAGAGCCTCCATCCTAGACTCCAGCCTGTTCTCCAGACGTTCCATTCCTGACTGCAGCGTGCTGACGATGGACTGTAGTTCATTTTGCACCAACTGCTGTACGTATTCATCCAGGGGGATGGACTGGCCACCGTCACAGCCGGCCGTCACGATGAGCACGGCCAAAGTCAGGAGCGTCGCCAGCCGGCTGCTGAGGGCCGACATAGTGACACGGACACTGAGACAGTATGTGGTCCACCGTCCCCGGCTGCCGCCCTCGGACTGACGGCTCGGAGCTGGCAGGACGTCTGCAGAGCTCGGTGCGGCTGACCTCTGCCAGAGGCGCCACATCCGGTCAGGCGGCCCGGTCCCGTGACCGACAGACTCAGCGATAAACATTGACCTTGGCCTCTAACCACTGCGTTGGATGGGTGTTATTGCTGCTCATGGTAGCCACATCCAATAACCCGTGTATACGTGGATGGTGGGTGAGATCACTTATAGTGACGTGCTAGTGCTCATGAGTAGTGATTTATGTGTATGTGCATGCAGGTATGTATGTATGTATGCATGTATGCATGTATGTATGTATGTATGTATGTATGTATGTATGTATGTATGAGACGTAACCGTTTTCCTCTGACGACAGGATGACCTGATTGCTCGCCTGTCATCGGACGCCGACCGTCTGCGCACGGCCCTTCGTCTGAACCCGGTACAGACGGGCGTCCAGACGGAGCAGGCCAACCTGCAGCCGGACAGGTGCTGCCAGAGGCGCAGCTCCAACTCGAGACGATCGGTACGTCAGGAGGGGGCGGGGGGGGGTGGACAGCTGCTCAGGCCCCGGTGGATAAACAATGACTGCTCTGGATTGGAGCGGCTTATGGGGCCGAGAAATCAAGCTTAGAATTTATGGAGAGCGGGTAGGTGACTGTAGTCTCGTCTGTTCTGCGGAAGAGGTTGTGCCGATTTTGTTGCTAATTGTGAAGGGTAAGGAATATAATTCATTTAGATGAAATGCTTTTTGTCGTTTTGGTCCTTATCGTGCTGTTAAACAATCTGGGGTTCGACGATTGCATTCTTTTTTAATTCAAAACATAACCCCGGCCTATCCATCAATGACGAGTCTTTGTGACATTCACCTGTCGATTTTAATCGAAGCACCTGATGATTTGTCAACCACTACATAGCTGACGGTGATGGGTCTCTCTCTCTCTCTCTCTCTCTCTCTCTCTCTCTCTCTCTTCAGAACGTCTGCAGAGCTCGGTGCGGCTACCCTCTGCCCGAGGCGCCACATCCGGTGACGCGGCCCGGTCATACCCCTCGCCTCGCACGGAGAGGACGGCGGGGAGAGCGGCGGAGCGGCGGCAGAGTGCGCGGAGAGAGCCGGACAGGGCACCAGGTGACGGGGGGGGGGGTACAGGGTGGGGGGAGGGGTGGACAATATACAGGGTGGGTGGGACAAGGTGTAGGGAGCGGTGGGGCGGAGTGAGGGGAGGGGGTGAACAGAGCTCTCGTGAGAAAGGTAGCGAGAGATTTATGTAACTGAAGTGTTCTGTAAAAACGTGTCGTACTTTTGTTGCAAGTACATTTCACTGATGATTAGGCTACGCCGGGCTACTCAAGTAATAAGGTTCACCTTTCACGAAGGATGTGGCTGCACGAATGATAAACCATACCTACCTTTCATGAATGAATCTGGATAGGTGGTTCTGAACTGTACTACACAGTACACACCATACTCCTACACCACCCACCGACTGTAACCCTTTCACTTACCTACACTCGGACACCCCCCGGTCCCCTTCCTCCCTCCCTCCCTCCCCTCCCTCTGTCTCTCTATCTATTCCCCTTCCCCTCCCTCAGGACGTCTGCAGAGCTCGGTGCGGCTGGCCTCTGCCAGAGGCGCCACATCCGGTCAGGCGGCCCGGTCCCGTGACCGACTGACTCAGCGATAAACATTTGCAGTGGCCTCTGCAGTAATTCGGTTGATACTGGGCTGATGGATCTGAAACTTGGAATGCACTTGGACAGGCGCCGGGCAGTGCATTTCCGTGTGTCACGGTTTCATGTGCCCCCCCCCTCCCCCCGGTCCGCAGTCGGCGCCGTCAGACTCGACGGACGTCCCCGACAACAGACGTCTCCAGCGACGCGTCTCCGACCGTCATCGAGTACCGCCACGTCGACACACTGCCGGAGCAGGTGCAGCACGTCCAGACGGCCCGATTCCGTCTCCAGTACGGCCGATCGGTGCTGGAGCACCTGGAGGGGATCGGCACCGACTGGCTGTGACCGGCCGAGGCCGTCCAACGACGCCGATGGAGGATGGACCGGCCGACGCCCGCAACGGTCGGTGTCTACTGTCACTCAGTTGTGTTGTGTGTCGGTAGTGCATCAGTTGTGGGGCGTATTTGTGTCGTTTATTGTGGGTAGTCGGGTAGACGCATTGCACGTATTTAACCATCGCACTTACAGGGGGGAGGTCGAACGGACCCTCCCCTCGGTTTTTCGCGAATAACTCGCGCAAAAAGCGGCTGATTGCGACGAAATTTTCAGTGCACTCGGCCTCGGGTTGGTCAACTTTACACATACTCTGAAAATTTTCCAGTCTTTGTGTGGTTGTAAACGGTCAAACATGTGAAATGATGTTGGTCCTATGCATTATTGTGGGTGTCAAGGTGACGTGGTCAGGTCAAGGTCACTGACCTTTGATGACCTTGGTGCACTTTTTTCGAATTTAGCACCCATTCGAGGATTTCCGAAGTAGTTTTGGTGCCTTCGTAGCTTGTTACGAAACTGTCAGTGGTGGTTGACACCTACTATGGATAGCCGGCAGGACGCCTACTGGTTGACCTGAATTGACCTGACCCGACCTGGCCTAAATGGATAAAGACATCATCTGTGATCAAAACTAACATGATATTCGTGATCAGCACCTAAAAAACAACAATCTCGCTTTACGAACTTCTAGCATGTCCTGATTTTCCTGACTTTTGGGTTATTGACCTGACCTAGAAGGTCAACCAATGACCTAGGACCTTAACCTTCGCATGTATAGGGGGGTCTGATGGACCCCCCCCCCCCATGGTTTTCGCGAATAACTCGCGTAAAAAGCGGCCGATCGCGACGAAACTTTCAGTACCCTCACATTGATCAATTTTACACCTACCCTGAAAATTTCATGACCCTGACCCCAATGACCTTTGACCTGTGACCTCTTTTCCGAGACCATGTTTGGCCGGAATCGCGATTCCGCGTATGTCGGCTCGCATTAGCCGCGCGTTTGCAAGCTTTTCGTGGTTTCAAACGTTCAAACATGTGATTTGATGTTGCTCCCATGCATTAGGGCGGGTGTCAAGGTCACCTGAAGGTCAGGTCAGGTCATTGACCTTTGGTGACCTCGGTTCACTTTTTCGAGTTTTACATGTTTCTAGGCTAGTTTTTGGAGCTGAATTCGAATTTAGCAACCATTTGAACATTTACGAAGTAGTTTTGGTGACTTCGTAACATATTACGAAGCTGTCAGAGGCGGTTGACACGTAATGCGAATACCCGTCACGACGCCTACTGGCTGACCTGACCTGACCTGACCCAACCTGGTCTAAATGCTTAAAGACATCATCTGTGATCAAAACTAACACGATATTCGTGATCAGCACCCCGAAAAACCCCTTAGCAGCCACACTTTACGACTTTCTACCAGGTCCCGACTTTCCCGACCTTGGGTCATTGACCTGACCTGGAAGGTCAACTAATGACCTAGGACCTTAAAATTGGGTATCATCGGCTTCCTCTCGTCACGGGCAACACGCTCGTTTTTTCCGCGAAGCTCTAGCTCGATCAGGGGCCAAACGGCAAGGGGGGGGGTCCAACCGACCCCCCCCCCCTACACATTAGAAGCTGGCAAACGCCGCACACATGCGAGGGTTAAAATTGGGTATCATCGGCTTCCTCTTGTTGCTGGCAACACGTTTGTTTTTCCGAGAAGCTCTAGCTCCATCAGGGGCCAAACTACAAGGGAGGTCCAACGGACCTTCCCTCCCCTCCCCTATACGTTACATAGACGCTGGCAAAACACGAATACGGGCGAGGGTTAATGCATGCTGAAGGTATTGATCCTACTGCAAAATGTATAACACTTTGCAGGGCGACTTATCTGCGGTAGTTTGTTAAATATTTTTACCTATATATCAGTGTACAATACATCTGACATTGTTCCGTCTCAAATGGCCGCCCGATATCTTACCTTTTGATTTAGGGGACGGAGTATTTGGACTTCAATTCTTATTTGTCACCTAACGATCAGTGATTACCTCCCCACAAAGCGCCCCGTTTGGACCCTCCCGGCTAATTCCCATCACCCACCGCCTGACCCGTGTATTACCGTCCCCTCAGAGCGGCGCCACGCGTGCCAGCGCTGTGGCCAGCAGCTGGGAGCACTCCAGGAGCAGATCGTGCACGTAAGGACAGAGTCTGGTGCAGACGGTGCCGGACCGAGTTTCCCGATCAACGGTCCAGCCTGGAGCACCGCGCCCGGTGTCGGCGGACCAACGGTCAGAGGCAGAGCGGGGGTATATTCAGGGTTGGATTTGTCAGTTTCGATCCCGGGTCCCGGTTCATAAAATATGTCGGCATTATTTTAGGGTACATGAGGGTACGTACCTACCATTTTGTTTGGGGGGGGGGGAAGGGGATCATGTGTCATAGAAAGTGATTGAATTTGGTGTACTGACTTTTATATCTCGTTTCAAATTCATGTTTTGAACAGCCTTCTTTTGTGTTGCATGGAGCAGCCACGGACGTATATCTCACCCGTTGCGGGTCCAGTTTATACGTCCGTGGGAGCAGCCCATCATAAGTAATCATAAATGGGTTATTAATGCTTTAATAAAAGTACTGGTGTGATGCAACTGGTCCGTAGATCTGTGATTAGTTGTCCCTCGTCTGAAGCCGACGACATTCGGAAAGCTGGCCATTGCTTATTGGCAATGTGTGTGATCAACCGGCCCGCTCTGCTGTGGATTGTTTCTGTATTGTGGGGTGGGAGCGTCCCAGCGCCCGGGTAGCACTTCCTCGGTTATTTGGATGTCAGTAATCCAAGTGGTGCAGAGCGCCGTTGAGGCCTCACCGCACTGTCTGTTTATTACTGTTAACCCTTGTCAGCAGGGGGGGGGGGGGTGCCACCCTGACGGTTTTTCAGGAGTTCACTGGACGCACCGGCGATAGAGAGCTGACATTTAACACGCCTAACATTAATGGTTCAAGCCGGATATTTGACACAAACTGCCTTTCCAGGTCAGGTCGGGTCACTGACCTAAGACGTCACAAGTGAACCTCTGCACGGTCCTAAAATGTCGCCACTTCACAACGCCCCCAGTGTCCTCGGTGCCGGCCGCTGCCGCCGCGCCGTTCGTGCGTCATCCGACCCCACCGACCGCCGCCGCCGCCGCCTCGGCGCTTCATGGATACGCGCCGTGAGTGAACAAATGGCCGGAGTTTGAGGAGTTAAAGGATTGTGAGAGGTGGGTGTCGACCTCTCCCAGGTTTGACTTGTATCTGGTGTGGGTATGGCGAAGGACCATCATTCCTATCTCCCACTGGTCGTTTGAGATGTGCTGACTAAATTCAGTAAACAGTGAGAGCCCATTGCGTTGGATGAGAAGTACCTGCATGCTTCCCTGTTCTCCATTCTCATATACACTGGTCTGACGGTACTGTGACCGGTATGTGACCTGTCGTCCTGTCCCAGACAAGATGACCGTAGTAAAACTGTCCTGTTCCAGGTGTTACCACGACCCGCTGGTGGGTAAGCCGGCGGTGTCCGCGCATCTACAGGTAGGTGGCAGGAATATCCAACTGGTGACAGAATGAGACTGCTGCTGCCGGAAAGGGGTCTGAGTCCTGGATCTAGTGGGTAAAAGTGGCTTCTTTGTAATAAATGGTAGGGTGGACTGGAGATCTGCTACTTTGTGACTGAACGAGACGCTGAACTGCCTGAGCCGTTACTAGTCGTGTTCGGTAACCAGAAGACTATTTCTGTTCCGTACAGCCCCGATACTGGCGAGTGGACCCGGCCAATCCTCACCCCCCCCCCCACCCAATAACTCCCCCCCACCTGACAGCGGAAGGAGCAGCGGTCCCGCACCAAACACGGCGAGTCGTACGGCGTGCAGCTGTACGAGCGGCAGCTGCAGCTGGCCAGACAGCAGGAGCAGCAGCTGCAGCTGCAGCAGCGGCTCTCGGAGACCGCCGAGGCGCAGGCAGCTGCCGAACAGACGCTCACCGCCGTCCGACAGAGACATGGCGAGATTGGCGATCGTCTGGAGGCCGACAGGGAGAGGGGTGAGAGGGAGAGAGGGAGGGAGGGGAGGGTCAGAGAGGAAGGGAGGGAGAGTGACAATTAGAGCGATGGAGACGAATTGATGCTCGAAATGAATCGATACGTTTCATCTCAAACACTTCGGTTGCATTTTATGTTCTTTATTGTATATTATTAATCATGTTATATTTGCCTAGCGTAGCATAGCTTATTAGACTATATGTTATAATCGGTGCAAAAATACATCGCGACTTCCTGATTATACATCATATGCAGACCCCAACAAACACACAAGCTACTGTGTTCTGATTCGTCACAGCTGTGCTCCAAATCACCGTAATGTATTCCCTCCTCGTCACTACCCGCGTCCCTGGGACGTATTATGTCCATTTTGCTCTGTACCGGTCTGCCTTATTGACTCCAGACATGTCACACAGAGTATGCCCCGCTCGTCGCTGATCGCCCCCTGCCTCTGCGTGACGCCCCCAGAGCGGCAGCTGCGTGCCGACGTGTCTGCTCTGGAAAAGAACGACTACCACCTGAAATCGCTGGAGGCGGACGCCGACACGGAGCTGCAGCTGCGACAGAAAATGGCCGAGAGGGCCGAGGCAGAGATGTCTCAACTGGAGCAGGATCAACAGAGACAGGTATGGAAGGGGAGGGAGGGAGAGGGAGAGAGAGAGAGAGAGAGAGAGAGAGAGAGAGAGAGAGAGAGAGAGAGAGAGAGAGAGAGAGAGAGAGAGAGAGGGAGAGAGACCGACGGACACGTGTATTGAGTCCTATAGATAATCGCACATCATACTTTTCGTCCGCAGAAAAGCGCCGAGTTGCACCCTCCTATAACGTCACGTGATTAAGTAGGTGAGAACTTCACACTCTAACCCATACTACAGTGTTAGTATTCGAGTAAACACCGTGACACCGGCTCGGTACACATGTCACCGGTGTATCTACACCACTGTGATGTCCTCCTCAGCGTGTAGATTAGTACGTTGGTCTGATCTTCATATCGGCCTTCTTCAGTGACCTCATTCCCCTCCACATGTACCACCATATTCCAGTCGGGTCCCATTTACCGCCGTCCCGGTACTGTCCGTTCAGGCTGCACCACCCGCAGCTGCGGTGCCACCAGGCCCCCTGACAGTACTGTGCACAGTGACTGTCAGAGTCGCCGTCCTGGTCACGGTCACGGGTAGAGAACTTCTGATTGACGCTCATCTCCAGACCATCCCCGGCAGTTCCCGTGTAGTCGGTAAAGCTCAGTCTGTACCCGTCCAGCTCAGACGAGATACGGAACTGTTGGTATGTAGCGTATGATCTATTACCGTCAAACGCTTCCAGATCAACGCGGAGTTCGAACTGTCGGCCCGATGACGTAAGCTGATAAACGTGTTCCAAGCCCCACCAGAACTCTTTGGTCACATCACCAAAGCCCTCCTTATAGTCCGTCCATCCGAGGTAGAAGTCCTGGTGGGGCTCGATGTTGTCTCGTCGTTGGATCACCGTCCAGTTCCCTCCGGCAGTGGCCATGTCACAGTAGGCCTCGACGGGTGGTTGTTTGTTGTTACCACTGGGTCGAAGGAAGTAGACACCAGATGGAGAGTTGACAGGCAGGTCGCTGCAGTCACGGGAAGGGGTCAGCTGTTTTACCTTAGCAGCTAGGTCATCAATACGCTCCTGTTGGGATGATGTGTTGCTAATAGCTCCGGTCAGCTTGGATCCTAGAATTTCAACCTGGGAGGTCAGGTTATCCATTCTGACTGAAACCTCACGCTGAGTCGTTTTTTGTTCGTTGAGCTGGTTGTTGAGCTCGCTCAGTTGAGATTGCTGGCTGTCGAGCGTTGTAGCCAGTTGAGACGTCTGGTTGAGTTGATTTCCTTGCTGCGTAACGATGATATCCAGTTTCGCTGTGACGTTACTCACTGTGGTTGCAGTCTCCTCTTGTTGTGATTTCTGTTCGTTCAGTGTTGACTGCTGGCTGTCGAGCCTCGTAGCCAATTTACGCATTTCGGCCACATGTTTTTCCATGTCACTCAGTCGTTCTGTGAGGTCCTTCACTGTGGCTGTCGTCTCGTCCTGCTGGGATTTTTGGCCGTTCAGCTGTGTGACTACCTCGTCCAGCTGAGTCTGCTGGCCGTCCAGTCGGCCGGTCAGCTCCTTCATTCTGCGTTCCAGAGCCTCCATCCTAGACTTCAGGGGCTCCGTTCCTGAGTGCAGCGTGTTGACGTTGGACTGTAGTAATTCATCATGCACCAACTGCTGTACGTATTTCGTCAACGAGATGGACTTGCCGCAGCTGTCACAGCCGGCCGTCACGATGAGCATGGCTATGGTCAGGAACGTCGCCAGCCGGCTGCTTAGGGCCGACATGGTGACACGGACACAAGGGCAGGAAGCCACCGTCGCCGGCTGCCGCCCTCGGACTGACGGCTCGGAGCTGGCGGGGTGTGGTCAGAGCTGGCCTCTTAAAGAGGCTCCTATCAGAGGCATCCGGTCACGCGGCCCGGTCCCGTGACCAGCGATACGCATTGATCCGATGATTCATGAGTCTGATGACTCAGTGATAACCATTTAAACTCTGACCACTCTGATGCAGATATCGTGTTGCTGCTCATGGTTCAGGTAGCCACGTCCAATAAACCGTTTTTGTGTATAGTCGGCGCCGTTCTCGATCGATGGAAATCTCGCGGCACCTCTATATTGACACCGTTCCTGACTGGAACCCCATTGCCCTCAGCGCTGGCCGCATTTCGACACTGGGCATATCGTACCCTGGACATTATGAACTCTGACCAGAATGAATGCTCCCCGCCGGCCGCTGCCGCCGCGCCGTTCGCGCGTCATCCGACCCCACCGACCGCCGCCGCCGCCGCCCCGGCGCTCCATGGATACGCGCCGTGAGTGAACAAATGGCCGGAGGTTGAGGAGTTGAAGGGTTGTGACAGGGGCGGGAGGTGTCGACCTTTTCCAGATTTGACTATCATCTGTTGTGGGTATGGCGGAGAACCATCCATTCCTATGTTCAACTGGTCGTTTGAGATGTGCTGACTAAATTCAGTAAACAGTAAGAGCCCATTGCAGGGGTGGAGCTTCCTATTCACTTGGTGGGGCGCCTGCCCCACCAACTTGCCATTTTGCCCCACCAATACGCGTTTTGCCCCACCAACTTAAGCCGATTTGCAGGACTTTACTGCTTAGCAAACCTATGTTTTTCGCATTGAGGAGCTTTGAAATGTCTGTGTAATGCAAAATATTATCTCTGTAATGAAAAGAATTGATTCATTGTTGAATTTTATCTAACTTACCAATCGGACATTGTAGGTTTGACAACTTTTTGCCCCACCAACTTCCCTGGAAAAGCTCCACCCATGGCCCATTGTGTTGGATGAGAAATACCTTCATGCTTCCCTGTTCTCCATTCCCACCTACCCTGGTCTGACGGTACTGTGACCGGTATGTGACCTGTCGTTCTGTCCCAGACCTGTGACCGTAGTACATATAACCGTCCTGTTCCAGGTGTTACCACGACCCGCTGATGGCTAACCCGGTGGTGACCGCGCATCCACAGGTAGGTGACAGAAATATCCAACTGGTGACGGGGAGGGGGCTGCTGCCGGGGGGAGGGGTCCGACCGGGAGGGGCTGCTCGGGGGGGGGGGGCTCCTCTGACACGTCATTGGTGATATCCGATCGATGGGTTTCTGTCGTGCGATAGGTATCGTTAACCCGCGCCCCACTGGGGGGGGGCTATTTATAGCCCCCCCTCCCGTTTTTCTGCAATAACTTCCGAACCGCTTGACGGATCGACGCCAAACTTACAGTACCTTCGGCTGCATCAATTTGACACCTTGTGTAAAAATTTGAACTTCGTAGCTACCATAGGTCGGCCGGAAATGACGTCAGAGTGACGTCATGTTCGTCCGATTTCGACGCAAAACATTGAACCACGGCAATCGCTCTCAAGAGCTCAGTTTTTAAGCTAGATCCAATTTCTTTGCATGAAAGGACTCAGAATTGACCGCGCTATCAAACTGCTATCTCGAATTTTTAAAATTTTGAAAATTTCGAAAATTTGATATAATAATATTCAAAATTTGTATTTTTATATTTTTTTCAAAAAGTTTTTGACTTTTCGAAAAAACCGGAATATATGTGACAGAATGCATGATTATGACTAACTCTAGCAAGTTTTAGCTAAATATCTTCAAAAATGGCCAAGTTATACGCATTATTGCAAAAAATTCACAATTATTGATTTTTCAAATCAATTTTTCAGTACGTATTTGACATCGTACACCAATATAAATGGCACCATCGTGTTCCTGAGCTCAAACTGCATCCAATAGACACCTTTTTTGTTGAAAAATTTTAACTTCAAAATTTGACCTTTTTTGACCTGAAAGTGACCTGACCTAAGCTAAATTCGACTCAAAATGACCTCGAATGACACAGACAACATCAAATTCGAAATCTATGGCCTAAATGGACCATAAAACATGTGTCACGTGACCGACGCATGATAAAATATTTTCGTGACCTGTGATGACCTGACCTTGACCTGAAAATCAAAGTAAAAGCTTGGTACCCTCAGGGTATCTAGAGCATCTGTTAAGGAGTGTGTGTACCAAAAATGAGCCTGATCTGACTTGTAAGACGGCGGCCAGAGCCCAAAATGTGAACAAGCCAAAATGCTAATAGTTTTTACTTTGACCTGACCTGTGACGTCATCGGTGACCTCGAGGTCAATGAAATTAGTTTTCGCTCGACAGTTTTTCCGGGGCTATCAGACGCCGTTTGAATTTTGACGATCGGCCCAGTAGTTTCGGAGTTAGGAGGGGGGGCTATGAATAGCCCCCCCCCCCCCCCAGTAGGGCGTGTTATACACAGACCCCAGTGGGGCGCGGGTTAAGGGATGGAAGATTTGTGGCCCATCCATCGATATATTATAAACGACAGTACTCACGGTCACGAGACAACGCTGCTGATGAAGCTTTCGGCAAAATCCTGGTCTGATATCGTTTTTTTTTTAAAGAATGGTCTGTTTTTCCAGGACATTTTACAGCATGTTTTGTACCAAGACACTACACAATCGTAGCCTTGGACTGAGGTTAATTATCGCTCCCCTACCCATTCTGACGTTCATCGTCTAACGCCCAGTCCGTATCAACTCGTCCCGGACCCCGTCTCTCCGACTGATCCCGTGTCCTGCCCTGTTTCCAGTCAGGTCCTTTAGTCTGCCCAGGCGGCCCTGCTCAAGGGGCCGGCCGTTTCTCAGGCCCAGCCCGTCTCGGCGGCCGCCTACAGCGCCGCCGCGGCGCGCGCCTACACGACCGCCCTGACCGGTGTCTTCAAAGCTAGAGCATACCAAGAAGTGAGAATAGAAATGTACACTGTGCCAACTTGTTGCCCTGTAGTTGCCAACTTGAGTTAATTTACATTCTATTTTTTCTGATGATTTTCATCAAATGTTATGTTTCTTTTCTGCCAGACGCCACGTGTCGCCCTGGGCCGTGATGTGGCCGGTCCGGTCCTCTGATGTTTCAGAATTCCGGCGTCTGAGGAGTACGGGGCGGGTGGGATTTGTACCGAGCATGGGGGTGCTCGAGCTCTCCCAATTCCACGCCGGCTTGGCTCTGGAGCCACAACAGACGGCGGGGTCAAGGTCACCGCTAAGGCGGCGGCGGTTTTGTTGCGCCCGGGCACCCCCACCTCGGCACAATGTTCCACCTTTGCGACTTCCTATGAACCCTTCAGCCTGCGGCTAAGGATATTCATGGAACATGAGGCTGCGTTTCCATATACGTTATTCTTCATGAATGTTCTGATCCTCATATTATCTTTATTTTCTCTGCATTAATTAATCGCCTTACGTGCCGCAGGAAGGCATCGCTATTGTATGAGGCTCGTTTTCTACCAAGTTGATCCAACGCCTGGCTCCCCTCCCCAGACGGGTCCATCCCGTCGGCCCCCACCAGTGCAGACCGGGACAGCCAGCCGGCCACCGAGCCGGCCGGTGCCCAGTCCGCCGGCGGGGACTCTCGGCCACCGGTGTCGGCCGGCCGAGCGGGACGCGCCTGCTGACGGCCCCAGAAGCCGCTCCTTCCGGCTGACTGTCCGCTGATGGAGAGATTCCAGAGGGCGCTGGCCGCTCTGCTGAGGAAACAGATCGGGAAACTGGACCTGGACATGGTGGGTGACCGCGGGGGGGGGGGAGGGATTGGTCTGAGTCGGTGGTAAAAGTGGTGTCTTTGGTCTGGATTGTTTGGTTAAATGGATACACTAGCTTTGGGAGCGATTTATAGGTATGTAGAGTTGGGATGTAACCCTTGGGTGAACTAGAGTCCTGAAACTAGTGGGGAAAAGTTGCTGTTTTGTACTTGTAGGGTGAGCCGGAGATCTGCTACTTTGTGGTTAAACGGGACGCTGAACTGCCTGAGCTCTTACTAGTCGTGTTCGGTAACCATAAGACTATTTCTGTTCCGTACAGCCCCGATACTGGCGAGTGAACACGGCCAATCCTCACACCCTCCACCCAATAAATCCCCCCCCCCCTCTGACAGCGGAAGGAGCAGCGGTCCCGCACCAAACACGGCGAGTCGTGCGGCGTGCAGCTGTACGAGCGGCAGCTGCAGCTGGCCAGACAGCAGGAGCAGCAGCTGCAGCTGCAGCAGCGGCTCTCGGAGGCCGCCGAGGCGCGGGCAGCTGCCGAACAGACGCTCACCGCCGTCCGACAGAGACATGGCGAGATTGGCGATCGTCTGGAGGCCGACAGGGAGAGGGGTGAGAGGCAGGGAGAGAGGGAGGGAGGGAGGGAGGGGAGGGGAGGGTCAGAGAGGAAGGGAGGGAGAGTGATAATTACAGCGATGTAGACGAATTGATGCTCGAAATGAATCGATACTTTCCCATCCCAAACACTGCGGTTGCATGCTGTTTTCTTTATTGTATTTTATCATGCATGTTATATGATATTTGCGTAGCATAGCATAGCTAATTATACTATATGTTACAATCGGTGTTAAAATACATCGCGACTTTCTGATTATACATGATATGCAGACATTAACAAACACAGAGCCTAGTGTTCTGATTCGTCACGCCTGTGCTGCAAATCACCGTAATAGATTCCCTCCTCGTCACTACCCGCGTCCCTCCGGCGTATGTTGTCCATTTTTCTCTGTACCGGTCTGCCTTATTGACTCCAGACATGCCACACAGAGTATGCCCCGCTCGTCGCTGATCGCCCCCTGCCTCTGCGTGACGCCCCCAGAGCGGCAGCTGCGTGCCGACGTGTCTGCTCTGGAAAAGAACGACTACCACCTGAAATCGCTGGAGGCGGACGCCGACACGGAGCTGCAGCTGCGACAGAAAATG